AGAATTATTTTCTTATTCTCTTTAATGGTTTGAGCAATCTTTCATCCTTACATCTGATAATCTGAGCAATGTAGCTGAGGATAGCGATATGCAATGTAACAACCAGTGTTGATTCGTATTAATTTGTCTTGAGGCCCTGTATCACTTTGAATGTTCTTGCTTCCATTTGTTTATGTTTGTGATGCTGGTATGCTGCTACTGTTCTACTTTTTTGTTTGTTTCTCATGTACTACTCTCTTTAAAATAAGAAATAAATAAATAAATAAACAAATAAAAGGCTCACCTTCACTGAGACCAGTGATCTGAAAAAAGACAAAGTTCTTAATTTTAGCAATATAAATTGGGTTTCTTTTTAAAACTCGAATAAGAATGAGACAAAGTAATGAGTTAGCCTTTGTTCTAATAAAGCAGTCAAAAGAAGGCAAAGGGCAAATAGATGATGGGGAAAATTAATCCTAAGAAAACTTCACATAAGAAATAGAACAATGAGCAGTATCTATTACTTGCTAATTATCTAGATGAATAATTTCCTCAGGATATAAACCAACTCTCCTTTTAAAAGAAAAAAGAAATATTTCCCCCAAATGAGAAATGAGTTTCACAAACAAATGTAATGCCCACTTTAAGACAGACTACTGAAGATGACAGAACCAAACTCCAGAACCTGGTGATCAGTACAGACTCCAATGTTAATTCTGCAATTAGCTGTACTGGCATAAAACCAAATCCTGTCTCATTAAATATTAAACCAGAACCACTAAAGACTCACCATCTTCTAATACATATGTCTACAGCAGATTCTAAACCCACATGGTTGACAATTAACTTAGACCTTAGTTTTCTCAGGCATGTGCTTAAATATCTTCACATGAAGAAAGTATACCTCCTTTCATTGGGTGTGGTATAAACGCTATAATCTCAGCAGTTTGAGAGGCTGAGGCAGGAGGATCGCAAACTGAACCCCAGCCTAGGCAACTCCATATTTATAAGATCACAAATGAGTAAGATTTGCTGATTCGGAAGAAATGTAGTCAATCCACATAGCCAATGTAGATCTCATCATGAGCAAAAGTGTAGCTTTAATTGCCAGCCCCCTGGAAAGATTTTTGTTGCATTAAAGAAAGAAGAGATTTAAATGGATGAAAAGAGTATCAAAATGAGAGAACAGGAAAATGTAAAAAAGGTTATTCTCAGTATCAGAATGACCATAACTGAATTTTAGCTGTCTACCTGAAAAATAAAATTTCAGCAGTGCTCCTGCTATTTATTGAAGAGTTAAAAGAATATAGGGATGGGGATTTAGCTCAGCGGCACAGCACCTGCCTGGTAAGCGCGAGGTCATGAGTTCGATTTCTGGTACCAGAAAAAAAAAAAAAAAGAATATAGCTTCTTTTAGAAGAATCAACTTGATTTTTTTTTTTTTTTAAGAAACCAGAATTTAACCATATTCTATATGGTACTGATTAGCTTTCAAAAAATGTAAAATAAAACAAATATATACATACATAGTCTCTCTTATTTCACTTTTAAAAATGGGTTAAGGAATAAAGAAGAAATAGAAAAACAGAAGAACAGAAGAGAAGAAGTGTCTGATTCAATCTCTCTACTGACCTCTCGAGAGAAATCAGACTAAAGAGAAGAAACACTTTAATATCTTCACCAGCTGGGGTGTCAGAGCAGAAGTAGACTAATCAGTTTTTATTGACTTGGGGGGTATGAAAAAAGTACCCAGTTATGCTGAGGGAATAAGCAAGAGGGAATAACAGATCACATTTCAACAGCAAATGCCATTTAACTTATACATATATACAGAACTTCTCTAGCTTGTTTGTGCAAAAAGTATAGATGGAATATGAATACATAATAATAATATTAAGACCAAAGTGGTGAATTACATACCAGGCAAAGAATGGATGAAGGCCCAGACATCATCAACTGTCCAGATAGAAGGCTCTGTCTGGGAAACTGGCAGCAAGTCATTATTCTCGGGCATTTTCCTAATTCTTACATCACGAAGCTCACGTTCTCTTTCCCGCTCACTCTGCCTGCGCAGACGAGTTGTCATAGCAGATGGCACAGAATCTTCATGAGAAGCCAAGTCTTCTTCTGCAGATGGATAAGTAATTGGAAGCTGGAAAATGTAGTACAAGTAAAATACAGCATTGTACTTTCCTTGCATTTCTGTGAAAGGGGTACTGTATATTGAAGCAAGGTTTCTACAGACCTGCCTAAGGATATGTTCTCTTGCTGCTCCTTCAGGGCCACTTGGACGACGGCCACGGTGCCCAAGACTTTGATTATCAGGTTTTCGATTCCAACGACTAAGTGCAAATTTTTTAGAACAGCTAACATTGTACCTACAAATTCAAATAAGAAAACATATTAGAAGATACACATTAAAAATATATAGTATTTAATTACAACTTTGCAATTATAAATTAGTGTTACATATTTGATTTAGAACTGTAACACCTCATTATATAAATTTACATTGTTCAAGTATTTGTTACAGGTCAAAAATGGCCTCTGTGTAGGCCATTTATATACTATATATATCATATATATCATTATATATATCAATATATATATATCTCAATATAATACTAGACACCTATAATAAACTAATGATACTTTCTCCTGATTACAGCACAACATTGAAAAACTCTGCAAAACACAGAGAATAACTAATTTTTAGAAAAGCAAAAAACTTCAAGGTTCCAGCAGAAAATTTTGGCAATAAATATTTAGAATGTCTATTCAAACTGATTTTCCCAAATAATAATTTCTGAAGAGAGATTAATAAAAAAGAAACTGATATGGCAGAGGGAAGATCTCGTATAGCTAATAAAAAGATTTCTCGGGCTGGGGATTTAGCTCAGCGGCACAGCGCCTGCCTGGCAAGCGCAAGGTCGTGAGTTCGATTCCTGGTACCGAAAAAAAAACAATAAATAAATAGATAAATAAAAATAAAAAGACTTCTCAAGTGTTACTAAAATTAAAGAGTGAACTGGGCATAATGGCACCATCTGTAATCCCAGCTACTCAGGAAGATGAGGCAGGAGGACCACCCCAGCCTGGGCAACTTAGCAAGATCTTGTCTCAAAATGAAAAATAGAAAGGGCTAGGGATGTAGCTCAGTGGTAGAGCTCTTGCCTAACATGTACAAGGCCATGAGGTCAATCCCAATCCCACCCCCTATCCCAAAATAAAGAGTGAAAACATAAAGTTACATAAGAAATTCTGAATTTTCTAAATCCTATGAGAATGAACAGGTTATTTTCCCCAGTAGAAGTATAAAAATGTCCTGATGGCCATTTAATTTTACCCTAAAACAATTGAACAGGCCTCCGCTGTGTTTATTATCTTCATCTCTGGGCTCAGAAGTATAGATTTTTTGATTTCTAATTGTATCAACCAAAAAAAACTTTTATTTTCTGAGAAACAAGGACTAGTTTTATAGTTAATATTTAGACCATAAATACTTAGCTCTCCAAGACCCAACAGCTAAGCATCTATCTAGCAACAGCGGTAGTTCTTCCCAATCTAATTTATCCTCTTGTCCTTGCTCTTTCACCTGCATTTCCCTGTCTTACGGCTGCTAACCATCTAAAGAGGCTCATCTAAGGTATAATAATGTGACAACACAGCAATCAGCTCTGGGAGAAAAGTAATGGCAGCATTAAATGTCCTGAAATATTTCTAAATAAACAAGAAGCTTCAAATATCCTGAAAGACAGTCTATAATCTCAAGAGTTTTTTTTTTAAAGCATTTTAATCACTTGGTATCTTTTTGGATACATGCAAAATGAAAATTCTAGTTAAAACGTGAGTTCAACGTACTTTTGTTATGGTTCTATCAAAAACAGAAAAGAATACCTGAATAATAGATTTACAACTCAAACAATGAACCCATTTTTCAAAAAAATTTAATTTACTTATGTTTTATTACATATATTTGGGTGGTAGTCACACAAAATAAAATGTTCAAGCAAGAAATTGCCCAGGCATATATATTTAAAATCTTATAAATTCTTTGAGAGAATCATTTCTTTTTTAAACAGAGAGCAAATTTCAAAATAATCAAACTGCATATACACCTCAACTTTACAGGTAAGTATCTGTAACACAGATTTATTATCTGAATCACAATGGTTTTTAAGAATGTAAACTAAACTTAGGAATTATAAGCTAATGAAGAGACACAACATTTCTTTTACTTTTTTGGCTACAACAACAGTTACTGGAAATATTAACCTAGAAAATACATTTTGGGCTGGGGATTTAGCTCAGCGGCAAAGTGCCTGCCTGGCAAGTGCAAGGTCATGAGTTCGGTTCCCGGTACTGGAGAAAAACCAAAAAAAAAAAGAAAATACATTTTGCTGTCTGATGCTAACAATGTAGAGAACTTATGCTAATAGCAGTGCCATTTAGAAATCAAAAATAAGGACATTATTTAAACAAATGGAAAAATTTTTAAACAAAATAAATTCAGGTATTTCAACATTAGTAAAAACACTCAGTTGATAAAACAAATATTTCAATGCCTAAAGGACTATTATTAGTCTATAATATCTTAAACATTTCTCAGGATTCTTCTTAACCAGCAGATTCCTACTTCAAATTAGGTTATACTGTAAAACATCGTAAGTATTATGAAAACACAAGCACCAAAATAGCTCCAAATAATGCTTAATTATTCCCCCGTGTTATAATATCTGAGTTTGACTACTGTTAAACCACATGAGGAAAAAAAAAAAAAAAACCACATGAGGATTTTTTGGTTTTGTTGCAAGGGTTATTGGTTTGTCCCTTTTAGAAATTCAAGAATACAGAAATACCTTTTGGCACATGACATAGTGCAGAATCGTTTTGACCGTAAAAATTCATTAGCATATCCCATTTTCCCACAGAATTCACACTTGAGCAACTCACTGTCCATTTCTTCTAATGTCTCTGAAAAAGAAAGGAAACAAAGGGAAAAATTCCAAAAATTTAATCGTGGCAACTTTTTTTTAAGCTTCTATTTGTTTGGATACTGCTATTACACCAATGGTCTTTTAAATCCACAGCCACTTTGGCAGAGCAAAAGCCTTCAAAAACAAACACCTCTACTAATTCCTCTTGCTTCTGCATAAAAATTATATGGCATTTTCCCTATATAAATAAATGAAACATTTTCAAGGTTCATTTTGCTAAGATTCCAGCATCTCTAAAATGTGCAAACAACTTCATAAACATGGCATACGAAACAAAGATGACTAACATATAATCACTACCCCCCAGAAGAAATACTTTCAAAACAGCACAGTGTAGGATATAAATTTTGGTACATTGTACGGTGGTGACACATTGCAGGGAAGCCTTAATTCTAACTGTAGAGAATGAGGATGACTTCAAAATGGTGGAATTTTTGATATCTCATTTTAGTGGAGCATATAAAATAGTTAATGTCCTAAAATAAATGTCTGTGGTGTATAGTAGTATACATAAAGATGCATATCTAATAAAACAGTTCCTTTTAGTTACAGTACATTAAATAAAAAATAACTTAGTCTTAAAAATCATAAATAGTTATGTAACTTCCAACTGCTGATGCTTTTTCAGAATGCTCCCCTATTAAATTAGAATGTCCTTCTTCTGCCCCTACATCTTTCTTCAGGCCACATAGGATGGGACCCAAAGAATCTTCCAAACTAAATCCTCAAATGCTCAGCAGCATCATGTACAAGCAAGTCAATCTTCATGACCCAGTTTTCTTATCTACAAAGTGAGGTTTGTAAGACCTTTCCCAAAGAATTGAGGTGACAATAAAGTGAGTGCCCAATTGGCAGTAGGGAATAAAAGAGTGACAGTTCCATTTCTGACTTTTTATATAAAAACAAAGAGTACTAAAATGTAATACATGTTCAAAAAATACTTCCGTGAAACCTCTTAAATTCTTTTTTTAATACAAGGTCTCACTATGTAGTTCACACTGGCCTTGAACTCACTATGTGGTTCAGGCTAGCTTTGATCTCACAGCAATTCTCCAGCCTCAACCTCCCAAGTGCTGGGATAATAGCATGTGCCACCACACCCAGCTGAAACCTGTTATAATTCTTACATCTACTATATTTTGCCACTTTCTTTATCATAATTCCAGTGCCACATCATGTAAAATATGCAACAAAAAGTACCCTACTAAAATTTTTAACTGTGTGCTCCACAGGTACTCCTTCAATCCCCTCATTTAAAGAAGACTTGTTAAGATGAAGACAGGAGTATGAAATGTAGACACAAGCTGCAGTCCTCAGAAAGCTCAGGCACTCCCATTATCCTAGCTTTATTAGAAAGGCAAAAGCACAAATGCTAAAACAAGTGTGAGTAGCCAGAACTACTAAAAGCAGTGCTGTGCAGTAATTTTTGACATTGGTAGGACTCCAAATTCATTATCCAAATGAACTTATGAACTAACAAGTGGCCTTCTTTTTCTTTTTCTTTCTAGTGCTGGAGATGGAATCCAAGCCCTCCTTCTTACATGCTAGCAGGTACTCTATCTCAGCTGCACGTCCAGCCCCCAAGTGGTCATTTTAGGAAAATTCTCAGGACTATTTTCATAAACAAAAGTCATCTATTTACTTGCAATGAGGAAGAAACAATCTCAAAATAAATAAAAATTGTCCCTTCCAATAATTTAGGTATGGCTTCATCATAATTGTGACCAAGTTAGAACATCCATTAACACATTCCTGGGACCTGATATCATAACTCCTAAGTGTATTATTTTTATTTTGTCAAACATATAACTTTATCTGACCTTAAAAATCCCGTATGAAGGACAGAACCTCTCACTTAACAACTACTGCCTTAAGAGTCCATTCCTTAAGCTGTCCCGAGAAGTGGCCATGCTCAAAGATTTTTTTCTGCTTCAAAGATTTTTTCATTTACAAAAGCAAGAAATAATACCTGATAAAAGGTTAGAATACCTGATATGAAGAAACTGTTTTTGGTTAGTCAGTGAGAGGAAATACCAAACTGATAAGGTTTAAAGTGAACAGCCTAACAAAAAGTACCTAAGTTTTCTTTTTTTGGAGGGGGTGTTTTTTATTTTGTTTTTTTTTGAGAAAAGGTCTCACTATGTAGCCCAGGCTAGCCATGCTCAGCTAATACAACAGTTTTATTCTTCATAAAGAAGTGAAGAAAGAGTTGGGTGTGGTGGTGCATGCCTGTAATCACAGCACTCACTCAGGAGGCTGAGGCAGAAGACTGCCATGAGTTTAAGGCCAGCCTGGACTACACAGTGATCTCAAAGTCAGCTTGAACTACATAGCAAGAACCTATCTCAAACACCACCCCCAAAGTGAGAAAAATTACAGCTCAGAAATTTTTATTCTATGTGTTTGATCAAATTTTTCATAAATCTGGAAATACTCTTGTTATGGCTTGTATCTAGATGTTCCCCCAAAGCCTCATGCAGTCATAGGTGGAGCATTTTGCATGTGGCTGGATGTAAAGTGTGTGATGCTAGGATAAAGGAGGTGATCCTGGGACTGATTTACAGCATGATGCTAGGATTAAGGCTGCTCCAACCTGGGTGTGAGTGCCACTTGCCCTAAGGGCAGGCGGCTTATATAAAATGTAAGCAGCAGAAAGGGCTGCTGTTGTTGCTGCTTATTAGTTGCTGCTTGCTACTTTTGCTACCTTCTGCCTGACATGAACTGTTTTTCCTCTGCAATGCCCCTCTGCCAAGTCACCCTGCCTGGAAGTCAGCCAACTATGAACTGAAACTTCTAAAAAATGGGAGCTACAATAAACCTTTTCTCCTATAACTCTGTGTCAGGTATTTTATCTCAACAATGAGGAAAGTATCTATAACAATTCCCAAGGCTACTTTTCCACATTTGTGAATAAAAGAAATTACAGAATCAAATGAATCTTAAAACTGTTGATTCAGCTAATAAAAATAGGATCTGTAGTAAAGACACTGATAATTCTCCAGCATTCATTCTTCTTCACTATTTCACATAGAAGCAAAACCCTTCGAACATGGTTACCCAGGATAAAAATTTTAGTTTCTGCCCTAGTATTGATTTCTAGGTATAGCTGATTTCTGACCATTGGAATATGAATGGAAATGCTTGTAAACTCTAGATGGTAGCTTTCTTCTGTCTCAGTAGTTAAAATGTGATCATGAAGATCAGCCATGGTGGAAAAGAGAATATTTTAGGGATGGCACAGACACAAGACATTGGAGTTAGGGAGCCCACCATCACCAAGGTTATGGACTGATGACCTTTGAACTATGTCAGAAAAAAAACTTTTTATCTTAATTGAATATTATTCTGGGTCTCTAGTAGAGTGGACAAACATATATCCTAATTAAGTATCCCCAAAAGCTTAAAATCACATGAGGATCAGCAACAAAGAGAGGAAAACAAGCAATGTGATGATCTGCCAGGGAAATAAGCTATTTTGATAAATTATGATCTAACAGTTGAAGATCCTGATTATAGAGCCAATCCAAATAAAACCATAGTTTATCCCTTAAAAGAACAATCCTGGAGCTGGAGATTTAGCTCAGTGGCACAGCACCTGCTGCGCAAGCGCAAGGTCGTGAGTTCGATTCCTAGTAGCGGAAAATAAAACAAAACAAAAAAAAAGAATCCTTATCATAAAGTCATTCTCTATGGAAACTGTACACATTACTAAAACCAAAGCCACTAAATAAGTGACCTCACCATTTTACCCTGGAGCATCCCTGATAAACAGTGGAGTAAACAGTAATAAAAACAGGACTCACAAAATTACCTTGGGGATATTAAAAAATAGAATTTTTAAAATTTCTGTGCATTTTATTAAGTATTTCTTTATCATGAAATGCAGTAGGCATTTAGAAATCTTCCTTTCCTTACTCTAGCATCTTGTCCTGTTGAACCTCTCTTTGCTTTGCCTCCCTCCAGTCCCTTTCCTCCTCTTTCCACCATAACTTCCGCTGTCAATTGCACACCAAGCCCTAAATACATCCTGCAGATGACCAGCAAAGTTTACAAAACACACTTGTCAAGATAATCCCTAACTCTTTTACTACCCGAAGTACTTTAGAATCTCACTCTGCCAGTCTGAGGCTATTATTCAAATTTCACTCTCTTCTCTTCACTGCCTTACCATGGTTTCTCTTCAGATTGTATAAATCTTTCACCTTTCTTACTCTTCACTGCCCTCTCCTCAAATTTTGTAGCACTTTACAGCTTTTATGCATTTATTTGTGATATGTGAACCTGAACTGTTCTTCCTGTTTATCTTAAATCTATGCTTTTTTGTTTGTTTGTTTTAAAACAAGCTGGCCTTGAACCATGTAGCCCCCAAGATGGTCTCCAACTTGCAGTAATCTTCCTGCCTCAGCCTCCTGAGTGCTGGGATTACAGGCCTGCATCACTACACCTGGCATAAGTCAACACTTTTTTAAAAAAATCCAAGACACAGGGCAAATCTCATTCTACAAGAAACTAACCAAACTGGACATAATCTCTCAGCCAGTTCTAAATTCTTCATTGAAAATTTACCATTTGTTCATCTTTATTGTTATCTGTTATAGAGATTCCCTAGTGCCAAACTAAATTAAAAGTTCCTCAAGGCTAAAGGGCATGTTTTACCTCTATATATGCCCTCAGGTTCTAACACTGTCTAGCATATGCTGCATGTTCATGATACTATGAACCATGAGTATCATGAGATATGTTGTGAAGCTTTCTAAACTGATTTCCACGTTCCTCCCACGTATGTACACAAGGGGGCACATTATAAGCACTTTTGAATCTACAACTTTCATTTATACACTCACTGTAGATATAAGCAAGAAAAAAGAATATATGCACATTCATCTACACTATTTTTCATCTCAAATGAGAAATGGTCTCAGATAAATATTAATAACTAAAAACAAGTATCTGAGAAGTAAATAAAATTAAATTCATAACAACAAAAGGCATGATGTAGATCTTGTTTGGTTATCAATTTGAACAAAATAATTATGAAGGGACATTTTCTTAAACAATTGGAGAGCTGGGCCTGGTGGTGCATCCCTATAATCCCAGCACTCAGGAGTCTGAGGCAAGAGAATTGATGTAAATTTGAGGCCAGCCTGGGCTACAATGTGAGTTCAAGGCACCTGAATTGCACAGTGAAACCCTGTCTCAAAAAGACCAAAAAAAAAGGAGAAATCCGAATATGGATAAGGTATTAGATGACAACAAAGAATTACTAATATCACTGTATGGAATATGGCATTATACTTATGTAAGAAAATGCATGTTTTTTTAGAGATGCACACTGATTGTATAGACCACTAAAACAAACAGGGACAATGATTTTCTTTAAAACAGAAACAATAATTCCAGCACTCAAGAAGCTGAGGAGAATCAAGGTGAGTTCAAGGCCAGCCTGGAGTACATAGTGAGTTCAAGGCCAGTTTGAACTACATATGAGACCGTCTCAAAAAAAAGAACAACAAAAATAAAAACAAAGAAAGCTTTAAAAAAAATTAACAGAAACAAAGCAAGAAGAGGGAGGAGGAAAGGCAAGAAGAATAAAAGGAAGGGAAGATATACTAAGGGAGGAAAAGTAGGAAGGGAGGAAATGGAGGAAGGGAAGGAAACAAAGACACATGATGCTACTGTGGCAAAATAACATGGGAACTGGGTCATGATGACTCTGGATGGCTTATTAGCATACAATTCTCTCTACTTATATGTATGTTTAAAGTTTTTCAGGTGTAAGTATCTTTTAAATTAAAAAACTCAATGTGAATTAATATATGTTAGCAGTAAAAATCAAATTTTACTGCTGTTTAAATAAGAAGTAACACAGTGACAAATACATTGCAATAGTTCATAAAGTACCAAGAATGACAGAAGTACCCTCCTCTTTTAGAGTCAGAAAAACTAAACACTGACTTTTACAGAACGTTATTTTGCATAATTCAGCACTGTACTGGCACATATTGTATTAATACAGGCTCAATAAATATTTACAGAAAAAATAAATTTAAACGAAATATACTAATATACTAAGGATAATTACTTGTAGATGTTAATTAATTCACTACTGTATATTGAGCCTTGGCTACACTACAAACTATCAATTGCAGGGCCATGATCAGAATCAATCAGGAACAGTCTCACAAAGCTGTTCCTATAGAATATAGCTAGTTGTTTTTTTTAAGCCAGACATTTAAACCTCAACCAAAAAGCAGTATGCCATTTGCTGATTTTAAATACCATACTCAAGATATAAAATATATCATTTTTTATTTGTGTTTGTTTTTCTTCAGTCATTCTGAATATCATTTTGATTTCTATGGAATATTCAATATTAGAATAAAGTATATTAAAAAGAATTCCTCAATATTAGGAGACTTAGTGCTATATTTCTTTCTGAACAAATACAAATACCTCTTGATTGAAGAATACATCCCTAATATAATTATAGTACCCACCTAGTATCATATATCAGAACATGGAAGATCTAAAACCAAACGACCCAGAAGCTCTAAATTTTTAAGTTTACCCAATAAAATGGTCATTTACTACTTAAGTCTGTTTTTTAAAAAAAAGAAAGAGAAGCTGGGCATGGTGATGCACACCTGTAATCCCAGCACTTGGGAGGCTGAGACAGGAGGATTGCCACAAGTTCAAGGCCAGCCCGGGATACATAGTGATTTCAAGGACAGCCTGGACTACACAGTGAAACCCTATCTCAAAAAATGAAAGAATGAAAGAAAGATAGAAGGAAGGAAGGAAGGAAGGAAGGGAAGAAGGGAAGGAAGGAGGGAGGGAGGGAGGGGAGGAGGGAGAAGAGGGAGGGAGCTGGTTGTTCTGATGCAAAAGTTCTGAATTACTTTTCTCTAAATGATGGAACTTTTCCTGTCTATAGTCCTTCAAAAGTCAAACTAATATTGTACCAATTAGCATACACCTTGCTATTTTAGTTATTTGGTCATTAATAATCTAGTAAACTCAGTAGAGCATGTCTATAATACCACCTACTCAGGAGGCTAAAGCAGTAGAACCACAGGTTCAAGGCCAGCCTGTACAGCATAAAGAGACCCACAAAAGTCTGGTCAGCTTTCCCACTGTTTTGGTCAAATCATGCACTATATATAACAAAAATGAATATTTCTAAGTAAAAATCTGTGAACAAAAATCCATGTTCTGTTTCAAGCAGTAAAAATCAAAATCCACAAACCTTCAGCAATCATGTCTTCCATCTCTGTATCAGATGAATTATCTGGATGCTTTGTATTGTTCTGTATCTCTGGTTGAACACACACAGAATTTATCACCTGATTATCCAAAAGAGGCCTTTTTTTCACAGGTTCTATCAGTAAAGATGAACGACTCACCTTTAAAAAGGAAGAGAATGGAAAGACATGAAATAATCTCAGACATTTAGAAGCACTTCACTAAAATACCTCTTGAATCATATCTGTGATAATTTATAGTCATTGATCAAATACATTAAGTACTACTTCATTCTTCAAGTAAAGGTTAGGCAGTCTAGACATAAACACTTTTATCTCCAGTCATTAGCAAAGTGGATGCTTAAAAGTTTCTGTCAAAGGGAACTAGAGTCCTAGTTTAGATAACAGTTAATAATTAAAAAGTCTTAAAATTTAGTGATTCCTTATGTTTAGAATTAATATGAGCTATCAGGTTATTACTATTTTATGACTGTTTTAGTAGTACAGCCTAACAATGAAAAGCAAAGACTATAGTTATCAGAATATTCAGAAGTTTGGCAGGGTTTTCTGTTGTTGGATTTTTGTTTTCTGTTGTTCAGAGGATCAGATCAAGGGCCTTGTGTTTGCTAGGCAAGTGGTCTACCACTGCACTATACTCCTAGTTCTTTTTATTTATTTTTTTAACTTTAAAAAATACTATTCAGTTAAGAAATTCTCTTAAATTCTATGTGATGGCTAATTTTTTTCCCTCAGAAGCTTTCATCTTTCCCATATAGAAGGAAAACAAATAAAAGGTGAGCAAATTTTTTTTCTTTCTTTTTTAATGCTTGGGATTGAACCTAGGCCCTTGCATATGTTAGGTAAATACTCTACACCCCAAGCCAGTACTGTCCATATTTTATAGATAGGGAAACTAATGATCAAAGTATTTAGATTATTTCTTTACAAAAGCAGAACCAAAACTACAACTCAAGCCTCCTAACTTCTACTTGAGCAACCTATTCCACTGTAAACACAAATGGCAAATCCTCAGACATTGTTAATATGAACATCAACAAAATATTGATTATGTTCAATATACTCAGCTGTCATAAATACTCATTTTAGAAGTACTTTCAGAAAAAATAATTCAAACCAAAAATATTCACTGATTTTCTAGGCAAGCCCTCCGCTAATCTGAAAAACAGGATGATGAGAACATCTTCCTCAAAAATGCTGGCTAAGTCTTTAATACTTGCCATACATGGAGAACCACAGCTTATTAAAAATCTCTACATTTAACTTTAAAGCTAAATCAAAATTTGAAGTCAAACAAAATTAAAACAATTTTTTTGTTTTTTATTCCAATAAAGTATTTAATATACCTCACGTAAAATTTATAGAAGTTACCCCTAGGGAAAAAAAACCAAAACCCTAACATTTACTACTGCTAAGGGGATATACTTCCAGTGGGTGAATAACCTTAAATAATCTTTCCAAAAAATAATCTGACAATATATCAAGTCTTCTGGATATATATGTAATATGATACAACTAGTTGTAGGAATTTCTAAGAAAGTTATTTAAATTGTGGACAATGTATCAATATACAAAGATATTCCTTTCAGAATTTCTTTTTTTTATTGATGGTGCCAGGGACTGAACAAAGCAGAGAACATATACATATATATATATATATATATATAATATAACCTTAATTATATGGATACACATATACAGTATTATTGGAAATTAATTGTTCTATAATTTCACAAATTTTCATTTATTGTAACTCCTTAAAAATCTGAAAAACAAAAAATTCTAATTGTTACTAGTGATAATAGGTAATATCAATGACTAAAGATGCAACTACTACACCGAATAACATACGCACATTTAATTATCACAATAACCCTCAGAGCAAAGTATCATCTCTATTTTCAAGAGAAGCAAATGATTTGAATGATGTAAAAAAAGTTGGTCACTACACAGCACAGGCAGAATCCAAACACTTTTAGTTATACATATGATTTTATCTGAAAAATGAAAACAGACTTTTCCTCCATCCACTGTATCAGAATTATATGAAAAGCCAAGTTCAACACATACACACATGCACACACACACACACAGAGAGAGAAAACTGAACACAGAAACAACCACCAAAATGCAAAATTTTCACCCACAAATCTGAAAATTCCAATGATTCAAAAGGCCTTCAGGAGAAATATGCTTTTAAATGTCTACTTGTCTTTGATTTTTTTTCCTAAGGAAAATGTTTATCTCTACGTATTAGCATATAAATTATCTATCACTATGACTAAGTAGTAAAAACTTGTAGTGGAAGAGCTTTCATTATGAGGTAAACATATTAAAGCATTTTAAAAACCTGCCTGAAGAAAAAAATTTTTTTAAATCGGTTGAAGGATGACATTTAGGAATAATGAGAAAATCTATTTGGTAATCATAACACATTAATTAGGTAACTACAGATATATTAGAGAACTGAGTAGTCAAGTTCACAAAGTATCACGTATAAAAAACACCATTTTAAAAATGGTACATTTCAAATGTCACTTTAATACCCTTAAAAAAAAAATTAGAATGTTTATTTCATTGGAGTAAGCTTTCTACTTCTTACTTTCTCAACAAATACAAAATCAATGCCCCCACACTGGATTTTTGTTCATTTTTCCTTACTTATATGTCTAACTGGTTAACATAAGACCCTAGAAATGTATTTGGAAATATACAGAGGATACAGAGTTATATTCCAGATAAACATTACAAGCTTTTTCTTCCAGAATAATAGAAATTTTCAAAAATAAAGTTGTGAATAATAATTTTTAAAACCCACAAATATGCTTGCTACTTACAGGAAATGGCTCCAATCCCTCCTGAATCACAAACCCTTCAATCACATGGGTCAAGATCTGTGGTTTGACAATTGCCTGTGGAGGCTTGTTCTCAATGTTGGGAATGCTACCAGGCATAGATGTACTACTATTACTCCTTGTGGTAGCAGCTGGAAGTAAAAGTGGAGGTGGAGGAACAGAAACATGTGACGGATCTGATGGAGATTTAATTACTGAAGCACTGACTGATGCCACAGCAGGTAATTCTACTTGTTCTGGAAAAAAAAATAAAGTTATTGTTTTGATCATTAGTATTTTGCCTGCACAATACTTAATATCTGGTGCTTAAAGAAACTGTCCTAAGTACTTCATTATCTCATCTAATCTGCATAATAACCATGTAAGGTAGAAATTACTATTATCCCCATTTTACAGAAGAGGGTAACTTGCTCAAAATTATCCAAACATTATTTTAAAAACTCTCCTCCATAAGATGTAAAAATGTTTTAGAATACCAACTCAAGAATAACTTTAAGAATGATTAGTTCAGTTGTTTTTTGGCTACAGATATTAAATTCCTCATGTTCCAGTTTCTATATTCCAAATGGTGTGAGTAGGCAGGCCAATACCTTGAAAATGAAAAAGAATCATAAATCCACAGAAAAGAAAGAACCTTTAATGGGTTACATTCTTAACTTTAAGCAGTAAGACTCCTCCTAGATCTCACACAAATTTTCTTTGTATTTTTCTTTTTTTTTCCAGAGTCTTCAGTGACACTGTATATGTTGATCTGGGAAAATACTTCAGCACCAGTCAAGTGCAAGACGGGCAGAACCACTGATTCTTCCCCTTCAAATTCTGAGGGCCACAGTAAAATAGATCTGACAGCCTGCAATGGAGATGTTACCTGCCTATTTGGTAGCACCAACCTTTTATTTATTCCCTGTACTAAAGTATAAATAGATCTAGGAATATCAGCAAGTACAGATGGCTGAGGAAAACAAAAATGCATGTGTGCAAATATAATAATGATACTGAGCTCTTACACCAGGTACCGTGTTCAGTGCCTTACATGTGGTAACTCATTTAATCTTTACAACTAGCCTACGGACAAGATACTGTTATCAACACCATCTTACAGATGAGGAGATGCAAGATCAAGAGATTAAATTCCTGCCCTAATGGCAGACAGCAAAAAAGCAGTAGAAAAGGGACACAGAGCCACGAAGATTGGTTCTAGAGATCATGCTCTTAAACTGCATTAACTCTTCACCACTCACTGTGAAAAATATTGACACCACCTACCAACGGTGCTCAAAAGATAGCCTGGTTAGGTAGAGAAGAAAGAGGAGGAATCTCTAAAGAGAAAACTCAGCTAATAAAATAGCACAGTAGGGGCAGAGCTCACTGGTAGATCACTTGTCCACTATAAATGAGACCATAGGTTTGAGTTTCAGCAGCACAAAGAAATTAAAATAAAGTAAGATAGCATAGTAATCATCTGCATATATTCTTAGATATCGAAACGCAGAGTAGGGATTTAGCTCAGTGGTACAGCACATGAGCACTTGCCTAGTACATGAAAAAAAGATCTCCTGCAAAGAAAAAAAAAGATAATTCTAAGAATGGAAACATTAATAGTTCACTATTAGTAACACCAAAGTGACTAATGTTATCATGTAGCTTTTAATAGCCACAAATTATCCTAGTTCTACCAAATACACCAATATAAACTATGTTAGAAAACCTATTAAAGGTCATACAATCTATAAAAAGCTTTTTAAAAAGGGAGAAAATACTCATTTGCTAATTTTAGGAGCAAATGCAAATTATACATATGTATGTATTATCAAACACATAAACCCCACAAAACTCTCATATATTAAATATTCTATGGAATAAAGTATAAAAAATATAAAATTCTGAAGTGGAACTGTTATCAGATAAAATAAATTAATGGGGAGCTGAAATGAAATAAAATTGTAATATCCCTTAGAAACTTATAGATATGTTCTTTTTTTTTAGAAATCTAGGGGCTGGGGATTTAGCTCAGCAGCACAGCGCCTGCCTGGCAAGCGCGAGGTCGTGAGTTCAATTCCTGGTACTGGAAAAAAACCAAAAAAAAAAAAAAAAAAAGAAAGAACTCTATAAAGTTGCAAAAATGTGTTTAAATGTGTATCCTAAAATTCACGTTGGAAATTTAATCCCAGTGCAATACTGTTGAGAGGTGGGGTTAATGTTGCATCTCAAAAGTGGATTTATTATCAGATTGTATCTGTTATAAAAGCAAGTTTGACTCTCCCCGACACTTGTACAGATACTCTCACCCATGTAATGCCTTCTATTATGTTAGGGTGCAGCAAAAGGCCCTCACAAGATGTGATCCTCAGATACTAGAATTATCAGACTGCACAATCAGAACTCAAATAAATTTCTGTTCATTATAAATTATTAAGTCTGAGGTTTGCTGTTATAGTAGCACAAAACGGATGAAGATACTACATTAAGTACAATTAAGTATTTTGTTCAAAAATATGGCTTGGTATATATTCTAATTAATTTCCAGACCATATGTATAGATCTTATTAGTCCTAAATCTTATTAAAAACAGAACTCTAAATTACTGACTTTTTAAAAAGAAGTTTATACTTATTATTTGTCAGGTTAGAACAAGCTGTTAAAAAACACAAGAAACACCAGAAACAAAACTATTACACTCTCAATTTAAGAAGCATGAGAGAAAACCAAGGTGTCATGCAATCAAATAACTATTCAGTCTCATTTCCTGCACTAGAACTTTTTATACTTTTGAACTTTTTCTACTTTTTTACATAGATGGTTTTACTTTCAAAGAACTTTTACAGATTTATAAAAGAATCCTGGATAGAAACAAATCTATCTGCAAGTTAGTTTATTTTACCATTTGATGAGAGTTCTAAAAACCAACTTGCACTTTTTTCTTCATAATATTACACAAAAGTGATAAGCATAAAGTAAATTATAGTAAGATTAAAATGTCTACATTGTAGTTGACAACTTAGCCAGAAGAATGTGTTTGACAGGATCTTTCACTATACTTGAGGAAAAAATATTAAAGATATTTTTTTGTGTTTCAACATTTTACAAATGTTTGAATTTGGTATTAGTACATCAGTATCATTAATGAAGTTTTAAATAGTGCTTATTTTTAATTAAATAACCCTCATAACCCAACTTTAAGATTCAGTGTAAAAAAACTATACAGATTTGATACTGCAGGTTAAACTTTTTTGTAATCTATCTTTTTCAGGTATTATCTTGTTTCAAAAAATATGTCTTACTTTACCGACTAAATGTTTTGCATTATTAGAAGAAGACAAAGAAGAAAACTGTTTTCCCCTTCTATGCCTGGCAGAGGTTCATATGAATAGCAAGGAAATGAGAGCTTGAAAGAAGAGAAGGGAGAGGCTGTGGCATGCTAAAGAGAGCAGAGGGCAAGGGCTGCTTTGGTACCAGTTAGTGTCTCCCATTTTTACAATTTGTTTTCATACAGATTTTGTTTCTTAATCAAAATGATCATCAGGGTCATGAGACAATCAAATAATATTTACAACAAACACTGAAGCAATATTGGTATTACTTAGATCAAAGTGGACAAACTTTCAGTAAAGAACCATACAGCTACTGAACTCTGTAGATAAGGGCACAAAAGCAGCCACAGATAATACTTGAACAAATGAGCATGGTTATGTTCCATAGAATTTTATTTATGAATAATAAAATATGAATTTTATACAATCTTCACGATATGATTATTCTACTTCTGATGTTTTCAACTATTTGAATTTTTTAAAATTGTCCTTCCTTGAGCTATACAATAGGTAACAGAAAAAAAATTTGAATAGTGAACTGTTGTTTGCCAACACTTGACCTAAAAAAACGTAAATTTTGTAAAAATCAGTAAACCTATTTTTAGGAACTAGACATAGGACTGCCAGTTAAATTAATGTTTAGTAAAATACCTAGGGTTCTTAGTAACTAACAGTGTAAGGAATATATAGAGGCTCTACTTAAAATTCAAAAGAAGCACTGAATTAGTGAATATGAACTTGGAATTTTTAATGCAAGACACGTTTTAATCCATTTCTCTTGCAAGAATTAGGCTGAATTTAAGTACTATAATTGTTTTGGGTTTATTTTGTTGTTGTGTTTTTTGTTTTTTTCTTTTTGAGACAAGGTCTACTATGTATTTCAGGCTGGCCTTGAAGTCATTATGTGCTCTAGGCTGGCCTTAGTGATCCTCTTTGCACACCGTCTAGTGTGCTAGAATTATAGGCATGCACCACCACACCCAGCTTTAAGTACTATAGCTATTACATTTTTTTCTTTTTTGGTCTTTTCTGAGACAGGGTTTCACTATGCAGTTCAGGTTGGCCTTGATCTCACTTTGTAGCCCAGGCTGGCCTCGAACTCACAGTGATCCTCCTGCCTCAGCATCCCAAGAGCTGGGACTACAGGCGTGCGCCACCACACACAACCAACTATTAAACTTTTAAAAGCAATTTTTCTGAACCACAAGAAATTATGAAGACTATGAAATATGACTTGTAATTTTTAGAAAATATAATTTAAATCTTCTGATACAATCTTACTTTATTCTAATTTTAAGCTAGAAACAGCTCAACACATTAATATAAGTAAACATATAAAACATATCTGTACAAATCACTGAAAATTAGAAACATTGAAATAGTATGTTTTTCATCTGAGTGATACTGAACAATTTATAAACTACTAAGTAAGCTCTGCTGCTTTAAAGAATTTTCCACACAGGTAAGTAATTCTTATTTGCTCTTCAATAAACTTACTGTTCTTCAAAAATAAAAATAAATAAGTGTTGAGTTCTAATCTACATTTTGCTATAATTTATTACAGAAACAAATTAGCTTAATATTATATCTAATGAAAAAATACTTCCCATTATTAACATCAAATAGAAAAATTCCCCTATATTTTGGTATTTTCTCACCTAACAAAGGATGTTCAGAAGTCAGATCTTCTCCTCTCCCCACAGTTATAGCTGCTGGAGACAAAGTGGGAGGTGGTGGGGTTCTATCCATTCGGACACATTCATCAGATTCTTCTGGCATTTCTTCTTCACACACATCTTCTACTTGATAAACCTGCAATGACAAACCATATTGCCTTAAAATGTTTCCAAAACTACCTTTAATAAGGTACTCTAAATTTTTTAGAGCTAAATTCTAAGTATATTAAATTTAAAAAGAAGGTAAAATGACTATTATGACAAGTAGAAAGGAAAACTGGAAAATCACTTAAATGAAGTTTTTCATTATAATTAATATTTCACTGAAAGCAAGCTTCAGATAAGTTATTTAAGCCAAAAATCACTAAGGTTTCCAAAATGATTAGCTAAATGTGAAAATATTTCTAATTTTGAAAATTAGAAAAGGTTTTGATTTTACATTATCAAATAACTACTTCAAGAATTACACTATAGTTTCTGTTAATTTCTACCTGTCATAAACCAAAATAGATACTAGTAATTTTCAAAGGTACATTTAAGTAAATTTCCAAACTACCATGTACTACTATTAGGAAATATAATGCCAAGAGGACAATATTCCAGGCTGCTATCATTATTATCATCATCATTATTATTTATATTAAAGATTACATTATAACGAGTATGTACAAAAAAGACATACAATTTTCTTTCCTTTCCTTTTCTATTCTACTAAAGAATCTAATGAATCCTTATATGCTTATGTTTAGTATACAGAAAATATGAATACGCACACACATACCCTAATCCATATGCATATATTTTCTATTCTTTAATATTGTTCCATGCTTACGGAGAAAGATTTTAAGTCTCACTACCTTGTTATCCAAATGTAAAGATTATATTTAAAAGGGGTTAGAGAATCAAAAGTACTCTAAGAAGGAGCTATGTAACTAGAAATTACTGACTTACCAATGTTTTATTAAACTTAAGGTTTAGAGAGTGCATTTCTAGAGATTGATATAGGTATTTTACCTGGTCACCACTTAACCATTACTTATGAAAAATGATAGATTACTGAAAACAAAGGCACAAAAAAGTCTACTTTCCTTCTTAAAGCTTTTACTTCAATTTACAAGGATTATGAGTTTTTAAAAATTACTTAAGTAAACTGATTAATAGCCCAATAAATGTTAACAAAGTGAAAAAAAACCCTTAACATTCATAAAATAACTTTAAGAAACATCTAATAGTTATATTTAATTATCTGTTGAAAAAGTTTGATGATTTGAAGTATATAAAATTAAATATGAAAGTCATCAAGATTTCTGAGTCAAACAACTACCATGGATTACAAAAGACTATGAAGTGTCATCTATAAAGTTATACATAACAAATGATAGAGATTTTTTTTAAAAAGTCTTGCTGGGCATGAAAGCACATACCTATCATCCCAGTACTGTGGAAGGCTGAAGCAGGAGAGTCCCAAATTCAAACCTGGCCAAAGCAACTTAATGACTTAGTGAGACCCTGTCTCAAAAAATTAAAAAATGGCTATGAATGAAGCTCAGTGTGAAGGCCCTAGGTTCAATCCCCAATGCCACAAAATTTAAAAGTAGAAATAAAGTCTTGAGCCAGGCATTACGGCACATTGCTATAATCCTAGCACTTGAGGGGTTGAGGCAGAAGGATCACCGTGAGTTAGAGGCCAGCCTGGGCTACATAGAGAGTTCAGGACTAGCCTGAACTACATAGTGAGACCGTGTCTCAAAACAACAAACAACAACAACAAAAAAGGGCTTTCCAAGAATAAGAATAAAACTTTTTCCTTTTTAAAACCTAAAAATTGTGCCACTGATAATTTTATATCAGATATGATATCTGAATCAGCTACTAAATAGACAACAATTTTATAAAGTTATCTATTCACAACCATGCATCTGAAAAACTATTTCACCAAGAGACTCCTTACCTGACCTCTGGGTCTCAGAAGTGTAAACAGTAATTCATTACCGTCCAAGGCAACAGTTATAGCTGTCAGTATCTGTTCATAATAGTAACTTTGCAACACCCAATACAGTGAAAATCATCCAAAAAATATCTGGAGGTTAACAAAAATTTGTTTCTAGTACCCAAAGATATCTGCTGTATAGTGATTAATTTTCCTGAGTAGTGAGGGAATTAATTCAGGGTAATTAGACAAGTAAGGTTTTATTAGCTAGTTTTATTTTTATCTACATAGCATTTCCTTTAGTAGATATTTTTCTTATGAAGAACATTATTTTTTCTGAAAATGTTGACATTCTAATCTTGGCTGCTATCACATTAGTCTAACATCTGCTGCACTCTCTTTTAAGGAATCAAAGCTTGACTATGCATAGAATTGAATTTTTAAAAACAATAAAATTGTTTTGAAGGATGGAAAGACCCAAAATACAAACAGCAATTTAAAAAATACAGTAATCCATCAAAAAGAATACTCTTCAATACTTTTCATTCTTTATAGTTAAAGCTAACCATATGTTACTTTTCCCAAATCTTCCATGTAAAAGCAAAATAAGTCAAGGGAAGTAGGCAAAAATAAATCTATCACAAATATCTGGCACGATCAGCACAAATAAATCTAAATGCAAGAACTCAAATATTGAAACAAGCAAAAAGGTGGAGGCTTTTGCTCACAAGATCATTAGGAAACTGCACATCACAATTTCTGTTTAGCTCATAACTATAACTAGTCTAAAAATAACAAAGACTGCCAAACTTACCTCAATTAAGTCCATTATTCCCATCTGTCTCCCTTTCCTAAATAAACTGAGGAACATTTGTTTATTAGTTCTAAATTATCTACCCTCAACATCTTATTTATACCAAATGTCAATTTTAAAAAGTTAATAGATCTTTTAAAAAACATATTGATTTTACTTTGATAATTCACCCTTATCTTTCAAAATTTCACATCTCTTGAGAAATTTATCTCTCTACCTTTAATTATTTGAAACAACCAAGAAAGTGTAATTTGCTAAGAAATGTATTTTGATAGAAAAATATCTTTAGTCAAAGATAATGAAAAGATGAAGATATCAATATGTAACACAACCACCACTGTTAATTTCCTATCACCTTATCTGAAATTCTGCATTGCTTGTACGGTTTTTGTGTTATTTTCTAAATGTATGTGTGTTTGTTAATATGTTTTCATTCTTTTACCTTTAAAATAAAAATGGTAATGAAAAGAAAAATTTAATACCAATTTAATAAACAGAACTATGTTACTCAAAGAAATGTAAAAGAAAAGATAGCATAAACATTTACAGCAAACATAATAACTATTGGGAACAACAGAGAAAATTATTAATTTCACGGGAAAAAAGTTCTCGAGAAATGAGATAAGAAAAAGAAACTTTTGTAATCTATAAAAGGAGAAAGTCAAGAAACATAAAATAGAACCTTAAATATTTTCAACTTTAACTCAGTTTTTCTTTTTTCTTCTCGTTTTTCTGAGACAAGGTCTCCCTATGTAGTTCCAACTGGTTCTTGAACGCATTATGTAGCCCAGGCTGGCCTTTAAATAAGAGGTAATCCTCCCGCGTCTATCTCCCAAGTGCTGGGATTACAAGCATGCACCACCATGCCCGGCTTAATTTAGTTTTTAAAATGTTGCATTTTTGGGGTTTCTTCCCAAATATTTCCTCTAACAAAAACATTAGAAAAATACAAGGAATATTAGAAAAGCCTTATTTTTATTTGTTAAAAACCAAATCACTGAACTAGACGGAAAATAAATTTAAAATAATTTGATTTCTTTAGAGGTACAGTATATTTCCTAAACTTGAGTTGTTACATACCCACTGTAAAATCTTCAAAAATCCATTAAAAGAAAATTTAGATATCATAATTAAATAACAAATTTATTTCTAGCACTGTGTTTGTCAAATGTGGGTTTTTAAAAAGGGAATAGAAAGTGGAATTCAATTTATTTATGCCTATTTAAGATCACTCATAATGGTAAGAATAAAACACCTATAAATTTGCAACCTGAGATTCAAAATGCTTCCCATTAATGAAGAAACTTTAAAATCCTTTCTGTTCTGAGTTAATGGTTATTTCATTTTAAGTAATACAAATCTCTTCTAGGAATATTCGTGTTACAAATTATAAATTTGATTATTCTGACTAAATAGAGACCTTGTTTTACTTTTATTGTAAATTATTTTATAAATTAAGTCCTTTAGACTTTTTTTAAAAAGATAACTTTCTAGGCAACATGTAACCAATTTTGGAGGTTTACTCTGATAAATTTCACTACAGTTTCAATTATTCAAAATTTACTCCTTCCAACAGACTTTTTCATTCTCAGTATTAAAAGTCATCTACTGCGACTTCTGAGTTTTTAAAATGGGAAATATTTTAAGTGTAATTTTCCCCTAGTAGAATTTAAAAATCAGTTAATTTGGGTGCATTGGACTCTTTTTTCCCAGAACAAGGTTTTTTAAAATAAAGTTTTAATTACAAAATATAATTTTACCAAAAAATTACATCATATATGCACATCTCCACCTTCAAACAAAAGCCCCTTGAGGCCCAGGACTTCAGAATGCATACAACCAAAAAGGTTAGCTAGATAAACCATACGTTTAAGAACATACAAGCCAACAGAAGGGATCTATGAAGGATAATCACCTTAAGAGAAAAAACTTTGTGCAGATGACACTGGTTCAAATGCATTCCCTTGGGGAAAAAAAATCAACTCTGTAAAGATAGCAGATGGATTTGTTTAAATAGTAATAAAATTAACGAGGGACTTTAATAACCATCACAAATTATTAAGCATGCAACAAACAACAGCATTTTTTTCCCATACAGCATGTTTGCCAGAATACTGACATATGGAAATTCCAAGCTTTTTTAATTAATAGGCATTTATATTTAGCAATATAACACAGTGTGGGAGAAAACAATTTTACTTTCAGTTCATCAAGAAAGTCAAAGAGCTTCCAATGGCTTACCACTGGTGGATCAACAGGTGCTGGTGGTTGTACTTGTAGGTTTACCGCAACAGTCTGTGGAGGAGGAAGAGTCTGAAATGGCAGCTGGACCAAAGCTTCTGCAGCTGGAAGCTCCTCTTCGGACACCAAAGCATTCTGCACCAAAACCTGGCCCTGGGATAGAATTTCAGGCTGCACTTGTAAAGACTGCATAGACTGTAAGGGCAGTGGTGGAATCTGAGCTGGAGGAGATGTCGACATCTGTGGAGGGGTTGCAATTGGGATTGGAGAGGACTGTAGGGCTGAATACTGCTGGTGTGATGTTGGAGACACAATCTGCTGACCTGGGGACACCAAGGCAGACTGCTGAACTGGGCCAATGTGTACAACAGGGGAAGCTGAAAGTGGAAGATGGGATGGAAGATTCAGCTGTGCTGTAGGTTGTACCTGATTAGCAGCAGACTGCTGCAAATTTGGCCCTGGCTGAAGAGCTGATGACACAAGAGGGTGTGGCTGAATAAGTGCTTGTGGATGAATAATTATAGTAGGAGACTGACTTGGTGAATGTGGTGGTGGAGGAGACACCACTACAGACTGCTGTGCTGACTGTGACTGATTAGGAGATACCGTTAAAGGAGGGGGATGGCTCTGAATCGGTGAACAATGCTGTGACTGAGCGCTGCTGGGAGCTGGAGGAAGGCCATGGTTTTGGAGTGGTATACAGTGCTGGGATGGGGGTGGATCTTGAGTTGAATTCTGAAGTGTGATTGGCTGAATTTGCTGTTGCTGCTGTTGTAATATCAGCTGATGATGGGAAACCTTGGGAGGTGGTGAATGAAGAGGAATCTGTTGATGTTTTATTAGAGAATGAGGCTGAATTGGAGAATATGAAGCTGTGAGAGAAAAAAATGACAATTAGTACTGATTCCAAAAATATCATTAGAATTTCTAAAATTAATCTAAAGGAGGAAAGTTTTCACATCAGAAGGTCATCGCTTTAGAATTCTGTTACAAGTCAAATACAGCAAAATGAAGTTTTATAATAAATAGCTTTTCCTTGGAAAACTATAAAAATTTGATAAAATAAGCTGTACTGTGGAAAGTTCCAAAAGAAAACTGCCTGAAATAGTCTATCACAAATCTGAATCTATGCAGTTTATCTTTCCTAGATTTTATACTTTACCAGAACAGTGCCTTAATATACAGCAAAGCTTATCCAATTGAATTTCATCTTTGAGGGAACGATAACTTCGAAATCGTAAAAATGTTATTAAAACACAAAGATCTCATCCTATCTACATCTGGTAGCACTGTAACTAATCACTGAAACTCATCACTGAAACTCTAGAGGCTCCTCTAAATCTAGGAGAGCACTAGCTTTACTTGCAGACAATGAAGTAATGAGAAGCCGAGAGCTACTTAAACAAAGAATCTTAAATCCTTCTCCCCACCGCAAAGCCCTACAGTAATTTATAAATAATGGTATCAGATCTTCTCCACAGAGGGACCCCTCACAACAGGCACAAATAAGAATTATCAGAATCAAGTTGTGAGTAGTTTCCCTATAGTCATGTCTCTTCTCCAACCCACACCCATGTTCAGAAAGAGAGAGATGCTCACAAAACCCAACCTACCTAAGAATGGAAACTGAGTTCACCAGAAGATAAATTGAAATGATTCCTTTATGTTAGTATCATGTAAAATTATACACATTTAAAACATATCTAAGGACACGGTGGAATTTTTTTTCTTAAATCTCAGAATGTTAAAAACTATGTCACTTTGTATCTACTTTTATATTCAACTATACTTATAGCAACACCATTATAAAAATTTCTAACTTTTTTTCTTTTGGTCTTTTTGAGACAGGGTTTCACTATGCAGTTCAGGCTGGCCTTGAACTCACTTTGTAGCCCAGGCTGGCCTCGAACTCTCAGCCTCCTGAGTGCTGGGATTACAGGCATGCACCACCACACCCGGCTTGCAACAACTTTTTAAAAAATGTTTTTACACTGTGTTATTTTTTAAATTTGGGGGACCTTTAAAGGAATTAACAATTAATATCTGAAGAAACAGTGTTCAGAAGGTTGAATAACTATCTACTAATTATTTTAAAAATGGGACCTTTGAGGGTGTATCTCAGTGATAGAGCACAGGCTTTGCTTGGGTGAAGACCTGAGTTCAATCCCTAGCACAACAATAAAAAGAAAAGAAAAAGGAAATTAGGTCTGATGCTTCATCTAACAAATTCTCACACAGTAATTAGACTAACATGTCAAACTGAGATTGTTAACCCTTTAAAAAGTATTGATATTATAGACTATATTAAAAATATTAATAGACTATATTAAATAAACTAAATTTAAAAGTATTGAATTATAGACAACACTACACCACTATACTATACCACTGCAAAAAGTAAAATTAAAACTCTGGATTCCACAGCATGGCTTCCAAAGGGCTCAGAGTGCTTTCTCACCTCCCATTTGTATTTATAAAATGCCTGTGGAATAGGCAGACATTATTAACCTTCTTCTACACAGAAGACATTTTTCACAATCATAAGCCAAAAACTATAATTTTAATTTAGCACATTCTTGAAATACAATGGATCTTATTTCCAGTAATAACTTTTATACTCTAGTAAGTAATCTTTTTATATTCTACACTTGACAATTCAATAGATCAATGATTTATCCTTTTCTAAAGTAAATTTTTCTTGGATCAGAAGTCAAATTTAGCTTACGTTTTTTATATTAGTCTGTAAGCACATACAACAACCACATATATAGAATAATTATCCAAATATTTGAAACAATGCCTCTGTACAAGAAAAGCCCAATACCGTAGAAACTGTCATACTGCTTACTTTCTCTGATTTTAAACACTTTATTATTGTCAGGGTAGCCTTATATTTGGAGAATTAATAATTGGCATCATTTCTTATTTTATTTATATATATATATATATTTGGGAGGGGTCGGTGGGTACTGGAAATTGAACTCAGGACCTTGCTCTTCCGGGCAGGCACTATACCACTGAACTATATCCCAGGCTATATCTTATATATATTTTAAAACTGTTATTCACCATTATATTATTTCAATAGTTGCAACAAATCCATGAGGTGCACATGGTACTATACTAACATATTATAGATTAACAAACTGAATAGTTAAATGACTTTCCTAAAATCACCTGGGTATCAAGGGGCAGAGCTGAATTTTAAAGAATTTTAAAGCCATGTGGTGACTGTATTTGGAGATAGTACATCCAAGGAATTAAAGTTAAAAGAAGTCCTGGGAGGAGCCCTAACATGACAAGATTTGTATATTGTTAAGAGGAGCTCTCAGAGAGCTCCTCCACCATGCACTTGAAAGAAAGGTCATGTGAACACCTAGTAAGGAAGTGCCTATCCTCAAGCCAAGAACAGAGTCCCCACCAGAAAATGAATATTGCCAGACCTTAATCTTGGGCTTTCCGGCTACCCAGTGTATGGTATTTTGTTATGTCAGCTACAGCAGACTAATACAGAGCCTTCTCACTACATACTGAACTAATGTCTGCAAAAAACTATTTTTTCCAATTATATTAGCTTTATAAAAGCTTTAAAAACTGCTTTAAGTGGAGGGTGCTGGTACATGCCTGTAATCCAAATATTTTGGAGGCTGAGGCTGAAGGTCATAAGTTGGTGGTGCCTAACCTGAGCAACTTAGTGACTTAGACCCTATCTCTGACTGACTGACTGACTGACTGACTGACTGACTGAGGCTGGGGATGTAGCTCAGTGTAAAGGTACTAGATTCAATCCCCAATAATAGATGAACAGAAAGACAGACAGATAGACAGAGCTTTAAAACCTTTCCACTCTAATGTGGTTTGTGATTTCCATTCATTTGGTTCAAGTGCACCTCTATTTTATGTATTAAAAATAGAAGTACTTAAAGAAATACAAAAATAAAAATAGAATTACTAACAAGTAGAAACGCCACCTTTATGGATAAATGAAAATAAAAATCAAGTTATCTTAGACCAATAACCATGTCCTCTATAATAATTCTTGCACTACACTACATTAGAATACAAGGAGATTTTTCAAATATTTTAAATGACCTGTAGAGACAACTCCAGTGGAGGAGAAGGACAAGTTACCAATTCTAGAATCTCTCAAAGTATCCTGGCTTCAAATTAACTTCCTACTAATACAGGGAGAGAAACTGAGAAGTACAACATATAGACACTATCTTTTTTTTTTCTTTTTTTTTTTTTTTTTTTTTTTTTTTTTTTTTTTTTTTTTTTTTTGTCTTTTTGAGAGAGGGTCTTGCTCTACAGTTCAGGCTGGACTTGAACTCACTTTGTAACCCAGGCTGGGCTCAAACTCACAGTAATCCTCCTGCCTCAGTTTCTGGAGCATGAGCATTACAGGTGTGTACCACCACACCCAGCCTAGATACTGTCTTGCCAGAAGCCATGGATTGCTTTGAATACTAAAGTTATAAGGCTTAAACAAACTTGTAAATCCTGTACCTGCAAAGGGTTATGTGGTTCAGTGTGTTCCATGTGATTTTGTTTCCCATGAACAACATCATGGAAAACCTGGGTTTGGTTGATATATTTAGGATCTGAATCTGGAACTGAAAGCAACTTGAGACTCTGGTGCTTATGTTACCTGTCTCCTTCACACTTACATAAAAAGAAGGCAAATAATGAGGACATTATCACACTGTTAACAAAAGAGGGAAGAATAAATTTCAACTTAGAACCAAGTACTGGTACGGGGGAACTGAAAAATCCAAAAGTAGATCACCTTTCTTTTTCTTTTATGTACTATTTTTTCTCTCTGCTTTTCTTTTCTTTTTCTTTTTTTTTGGTAATGGGAATTGAACTCAGGACCAGGACCTTGCCCTTGCCCTTGCCAGAGAGGTGCCTGTGCCACTGAGTTATATCCCCAGCCCTAGATCTTTCTTGAGCTAAATCTGAAAAGAGCTCCCAGCTTTCTCTACAGATACATCTTCATCGATAAGTTAATCTACTCTTCATTATAACCTATCAAAAACTACAACAACTACTACATACTGTTTAGAACAGTCATTCCAGTTTCAGTGGTCAATGCTGCCCCACCCTGACTGTTGACACTGGCCAGGTGTTGGCTTGAGGCTGGGAACACTCTGGGGAGTGCAGTACAAGAGGACAGTTATCAAGCCATACAGACAGGATACTGGGACACAGATGTTCATCAAAAAGAAGCCCAACTAGGCTAGAATGGTAGGGCACACCTGTAATCCCAGCACTTCAGAAGCTGAGGGAGGAGGACTGCCACAAATTCAAGGCCAGCCTGACCTACACTGCAAGACCCTATCTCAAAAAAACAAACAAACAAAAACCTCATACAAAAACGAAGAAGCCCATCCAAATATACTATTTACTAATTTATATATCAAAGTCTATAGTAGTTCTCTAAGAATCAGGTCCAACAGTTTGAAGTAATGTGATACCTAATTAATGCTAATCAGAAAGAACTGCTATAATTTCCAAATTCAAGAGGAAAAATAAACTTAATCCATCAAATATATTCTGCATACCTCTACCCTCAAGGAGTTTACTCTCTAGTAAAGAGTCTAAGATCAATGAGTACACAAATAATTAAAAAAGAGCTATATGAGAACATAAAATGCTACAAAAATTCAAAGTGAGGAGAAATTTGTAACTAGAAGAATCAGTGCCAAGATCCTGAGAAGCAGTGAAGCAGAGGATGCTGACAATACTAACAGAAAACATGAAAAGAGAAATAAGTTTAGGTAGGAAAAAACCAGACTTCAGTAGTGTAAAACAAATCTTTAAAAGTAAAGCAGAGTTAAAAAAGAACAAAGAAAAGATGTTTACCTGTCAAGGTTGTTGGAACAAAGAAGCGTTTTTAATGAAATGTATGTGAGGTATCTAGTCCAGTACATCTCTCACATACATCTACATCCACAAACACACACACATACACCCCCCACATACACCTCACATTACACTGGTGTAAAAACATATGCAGATATATTAAGGATAGAGGAGACATGTCTAGGTGTCCCTCCCAAGTCTCCTGTGGTCGTAAGTGGGACTTTTTCAGACACTGGAATGGAGTCATGGTTAATGCTAGGCTCAAGGGGACTAGGATTAAGAGTGTGAGTGCTACCAGGCCTAAATAGCCTGAATAAGATACAACGGGTGGAAAGAGCTGTGGATGTTCCTTGCTTGTTTTGCTACCTTCTGCCCACCATGAACTGTTTCTCCTCTGCAATGCCTGTCTTCCATCCACCCTGCCTTGGAGCCAGCCGATTATGGACTGCAACTTCTACAAACTGTAAACTAAATAAACCTTTCCCCTCTTTAACTTTCAGAGTTCGGTATTTTGTCTCAGCAACGAGAAAAGTAACTAAGATAAGACTTCAGTATGATTGTGAAGCAAAGGAAAAGAATCAGTGTAAGACAAAAGATGCTACAATAACTACTAAACACATCAGGAGCAGGTAAACAAAAAGGAATCAATGACATAAGTAAATGTTACTGACTTTAAGAAGAAATCAGATCCTGGACATGGTGACACACACCAAGCTACTGGGGAGGCTAAGGCAGAAAAATCCCAAGTTCAAAGCCACCAAGACCCTATCCCAAATAAAACTTTTAAGAAAGGACTGAGAGTGTAGCTCAGTTGTAGAAAGCATGCCTACCATGTGCAAGGGCCTGGGTTCAATCCCTAGCAATGCAGAAGAAGAAAGCAGATCTTTATCTTATTAGAAGTAAAGAAGGCTTAATCTTGACGAATTCTGAGAGGAACACAAGAGACAAGCAACGATGGCCCCAAAATTTTCAACAGAGAGGAGAACCATAGGGCAAGCAGGGTGTGGTGATACACACTTATAATCCCAATACTAAGGAAGCAGGAGGATCACTGTGAGTTTGAGGCCAGCCTGGGCTACAAAGTGAGTTCAAGGCCAGCCTGGAGTGTAGAGTGAGAACCTATCTCAATAAGGCAGAGACAAAAAAATAAAAATAAAAAAAAGGAAAAAAAAGAAGCATAAGGCAAGGTTATCTGTGGAAAGAGGAAAAGCACAGGTGGACTTCAAAGCTTAATGAAAATGGAAACAATATACCTGCTTCTCGCTCCCTCCAATTTACCAATATTTTGGTAAAATCAGAAATGGAAAAAAGCAACACAGGAATATAATTTTCCTTATTTGCATAATCCTTATTTTTGGAAAGTAACAAATTCTTCCCACTGAGGACTTTAAACAAATACATAAACTTGTTTTTCTTAAATAAGCTTTTAAATCTATTCCGCTACAACATATTAAACTACAGATAAACAATATTTCAAAGCTAAAAGGTTTTATCAATATAAAGAGAGATAAATACATAATGAACATGTTAATCAAATGTCAATTAACAAAAAAAAATCTGTTTTATTGTTATAATTTGTTTTAGCAACTGGGCTTTTAAAATCACCTTTCTTCACACCACATAGAGATGTTCTTTCTTTAACTTATGAAATTCACATTTTAAAATGTTTTTAAAAAGTCATTCGTGTTCAAATAGAAGACATCCCTTGTTTTGTTCTACTTGGTAAGAAAATTAATTACACAACTATTTTCAACAAATTTTATTTATCCTACCTGGTGCTATTAACTGGTGAATACTTGATGTCCGGGTGACAGCTGTGCTTCGTGATTCCAGACTTGGACTCTCTCCTTTCTTATTACTTTCTGGAGAAGGATCTCGTTGGCTGACTTTAGAACTGGTCACTGTTGTTTTGTTATGACAAATTGTCAGTGACTGAGTTTGACTAGTGCTTTTTGGTGGACCATTCTGTGAGCTAGATAATACACCCAACTTCTGGCTGCGTAATGTTAAATTCTGAACCTAAGAACCACATAACAGAAAATAAGAATAAAAACAGATGGTTTTAATTGATACACTAATCATTATAACTACTATAAAAATATGACAATATATTTATATTAGACTGATCACCCAGAAAGCTCCTAGCACTTAACTGATTAGTCTCGAGGAATGGTAGAATTTCTATTGCAAGTAGTCCCATCTCAAGTATTAGGTGGGAACTTTTAAAAAGACGTAAGGGGCAAGGACAGGGCAGGGATTGGGTAAGCCCAGGGGAGACAAAAGATGGGAGGAGAAGAAAGGATAGATCATGAAGCATTAAATGAAAACAGACTCTGTGTGTGTATGTGTGTGTGTGTGTGTGTGTGAGAGAGAGACAGTGAAAGAGATCACAAATGGATGACAAATATGAGAAAAATTACTCTGCAACATACTGAATTAAGTAATTACCTTTAACTATAGAGATTGCAAAGGAACACTAATCTTATAAAAAAGAAAATTAATTCACTAAATGACTTGTCCCACTGTAATATTTATGAAAGGCATTTTTAGAAAACTTCTAAAATCTAATTAAATTTTGTTGTCATTGAACACTCATTGCCTTTGAGAACTCATTAACAGAAAAATATATTCATGGTCTTGAAACGGCTCTATGTGATGGCTCCTGGCTACATCTGGGGATACTGTAAACCTTCTGCAAGTGAATGGGGTCAAGGATTATCCCAATTACTTTCATCTGAGCTTTAAAACATTTCTAAACAGCAACATTTCTAAATAGCAAGGTCAAAAATGCTTCACCAAAAGCTGCCTAATTTCTTGTTTATCTGGAATAAATGTACCAGATACATGTAGAGCTAACGCTGACCCTGGGACGGAAAGTGAAGTACGCGAGATCCCAAAGTGACAAAGTAAATGACATAACACTGCTTTATAAATGTTTTTCAGTTTATGTCTATTCTGTCTCTACAGGCACATCATTAACTCATGCTCCAAGGCTGTAGTTCCTCTGTCCAACCTAGTGCCATATATTCAGTCACTACCAAGCACTTTAAATGTTGATGTCAGCAAGTCAAAGTTTTAATCATTTCTATTCATGCTCCTGTGAGAATTTCTAAGTGAGACTATATGGAGCATCTTCTCTGATTTTCCTCAAGTACTATGCATCAATATAAACATATATGACCAATAATAACATTATTAAAGTTTAATACAAAATAAGATGTATTAAAAGACATTTCTCAGATTGCTACTCAAAGCCCTTCATTAGCCAGAATCACTCTGTACTCCACTTTCTATTCCTCCAGCCCCACAATTTTCACTTTTGCCAGAACTGTTTTCACAATTCTCCAAACATACCTTGCACTTCCTCCATTTGGAGCCCCTGCTTAAGCTCCTATTAACTAAATGCCATTCCTCCTCAAAGCTGTCTCCTGAAGACTAATTCATTCTTTCAGCTCCAATAAAATCCCACTCGTCTTCCCAGAAAACATTCCCAAAATCCTTGGTTAGAAAAGAGTTCCCCACTCCCAGAAGGATTTTTCCATAGAATTTGGGTTATACTGGCTTACAGCACAATGTCCTGCTTGCTTCAGAATTACAAAGGAATGTATGTATAAAAGACTGAGATTCTGGTTAGTAGGCTCTCACCTCCTACATTTATTTCTGTATGCCCCAAAATTCTGTGCTGCAAACATTAGAAACTTTACAAGTGTGCGGTATTCTCCTATTATCTGATTTTGAAATATATACTCCATGGGTTTTTAGTAGGTACCTAATTCTATTTATGGTTTCTTTGGCTAACATTAAAATCTATTCACATTTATCAAAAAAAAAAAAAAGCTCAACAATTATCTGAGTGGCAACACATTAAAATTTCCCAAGAAGCAAGGGATAGACAATATAGAATTTAACATGTGCCACAAATGATCTTCAGACTACATAGTAACCAAAAGGTAAACAGTCTAAAAAACTTGAAAGCATTCCTTCAAATATTTAATAGCACATTCATAGTAATGATTTGACACAATGAACACTAAATACGTTCTTCTAATTTTCCTGTTTTTTGAGATTCTGAAAAAACTGTATGTGTGTACATATATGTGATGTATATTACTTATATGAGTATCTAAATTTTAAATATAGCTATTTCTATGATCATCTTAGTTTAAATATTGACATGGTATAAATAAATTCCAGCTGGGCATGTGGCACACACCTGTAATCCCAGCACTCCGGAGGCTGAGGCAGGAGGATCCCTGTGAGTTCCAAGGCCAGCCGTGTTTACATAAGTGAGTTCAAGGCCAGCCTGCACTACCTCCTAAGACCCTATCTCAAAATAAATAAATAAATTAATTAATTCCAACTATGTAAAACTATGCTACCAAATTACATTACAAAGTTAATTTACCTGGTAAGAGATCACATTTCAATTTCCTTGACACAGCCTCATATTTGAGGAAACAAAATCCATCTTTTCTAAAAAAGAACATTAATGTACTCTTATATCCAACTTTCATTTTGCCTAAGCTTTTCACATGATCAAATTATGGAAACTTTCCGACTTTCTGACTTTTGATATTTTGCATGAGGTATTTTTGCCAAGTTCAGGGCTTATATTTTAAAGTTGATTCCCCACTGCCAAAGTATTCTCACATTGGTTATTTAACATAAGTCCAACAAGTACTTTGGAAATTATCATAGCATTGCTTCTCTGCAGATGAAGAAACTAAAAGTCAGTGTAACATGTTGGTAGCAGAGCTGAGTTTCTAGCTTTTAAATCCAAAGGAGTGATTTTTTCTGATTCTAACAGCATTCCCTAGATACTCTAGATATGTAAGATTTCTTACCCTTGTACAACCATATTTTTTATTCACTAGTATCTCTCTGGAAATCTTTTCCCTCCCTTTTCACATAAAGGGGAAAAGGGATGAAGCATTTAAAATAGTAAAATAAGGGTAAGATATTCCAACTTCTTTTTAACTTTTTTACAATATACTGTGAAAACTTTTTAGTCCTAAGAAATAAACTGTTATACTGACTTCTATAGTACAAAGACTATTTAAACAAAACTTCAAATTTGGTGTTTTTCAATTACAAATACAATTTCCAAATTGCAAACATAGTTTTAAAAATCAACAAATTAGAGCAGAAATTTTCAAAACTAATACTGCGGTCCTGAACTTGAAGTTACCCCTAGAATTATAAGGTATTAACATCACCTATCATTTGCCAGCTTCATTCACTGCCATTTCAAAACCACAGCAAAGAAAAACATTGGTAGGGAGATTGTGTAGCAGTCAGGGTGGGGTTTCAAGCTTATTTGGCATTTGGATCCATCCAAGGGATTGGTGGGACACAGTTCTAGGCATATCTGTGTGGGTCATCAGAGGTGTGCCCTTGGGGTTCTTTGATCCCTCACCCTTTTGGTTGTGGCACTCTTCTCCTGCACCCAGTCACCATAAACTAAGCAGTACTGCTCCACTATGCTCTTCTATGATGTCTCTGCTTTGGAGCCAGTTCATCAGGGACTGAAACTGTAAGCAAATTGAACGTCTCTTCCTTTAGGTTGTGAGTGTTGGGTACTGTCTCAGCAACAAGAGAGTTAACAGATTCCTAAAGGTCAATCCATTCCTCTAGTTCCTTGGAAGTCTATCCTTAAACTGAGATGATCATAGAACCACACACCTATACCATACCAAAGTAGACCCTGACAACCACTTTCATAAACTACTTTAACTATATCACATTAAAGATGTTTTCTTCATGAAAACTCATAAAAAAATAGTCCTTTATAGAGGATGTTATAAATAGTTTACTTTCCTATGCAGCTCAATTATTTTGCCTTGGAAACTATAAATCCTTTGAAGGACATTTGGTTATCTCCACTGGGAGTATCTTAGTTACTTTTCTCATTGCTGAGACAAAATACCCAACACCCAAAGTTACAGAAAGAAAATGTTTATTTTGGCTCAGAGTTTGTAGAGGTTTCAATCCTTAAGTGGCTCCAAGGCAGGGTGGCTTCACAGAGGGACATCACAGAAGAGAAAGAGTTTGTGGCAGCCAGAAGGCAGCAAGAGACAAACTACAAGTAAGTAACAGCACCTTCTTTCTTTCCCTTCCATTGTATTCAGGCTACCAACTGGGTGAATAGCACTCATACCCTTGACCCTAGCACACTTAATCCTAGCACTGCACCAAGATTCAATCACACACTCTAGATCCACCCACCTCTGAAAGAGCCCCACCAATGACTACATAAGGCTTTGGGAGGACATCTAGACACAAACCATAACAGTGCAGCTATTTTGAACTGGGCTGCTATGAACATTTGTATACATGGCTTTACGTAGATGTGTATTTTGACATCCTTCTGGGTAAATGCTCAGCAGCAGAGTTGCTAGGTCACATGTTATGTGTGTATTTAACTTTCTACGGAATTATAAGACTGTTTTCCAGTTGTACCATTTTATACTTTCACCACCAATGCTCCACATTTTTAAAACATGTGCTATTATCAGTCTTCTTCAATTTAGCTATTCTAGTGTATGGTGATGTTCACTGTAGTTTTGATTTGCATTTCTTTTTTTTTCTTTCTTTCTTTGAGACAGTCTCACTCTGTAATTCAGGCTGGGCTTAAACTCACTACATAGCCCAGGCTGCCCTTAAATTCTTGCAATCCTCCTGCCTCAGCCTCCGAGTGCTGGGATTGCAGGCCTATGTCACCACTCCTGGCTCACTGATTTGCATTTCTGCAAAGATTTATGGTGTTTGTTGAACATTCTTTCAGGTGCTTATTAGCCTTTTGCATATTGTCATTTATCTAATGTCTCTTCAAATCTTTTCCCCACTTTTAACTGGGTTGCTTAGGGCTGGGGATATACCTCAGTGGGACAAGCTCCTGCCTGGCAAGTACAAGGTCCAGAATTCAATTCGTGATACCAAAAAAAAAAAAAAAAATGTTCAAGACGAACTTGGGCTACAAAGTGAGCTCAAAGCAAGCCTGAATTGCATAGAGAGATGCTGTCTCAAAAAGAAAAAAAAAAGTTGACATTAACTGGGTTGCTTATGATATTATTATAATCATACTTCATATATCCTGGTATAAGTTTTTTGTCAGATATATGCATTGCTAATATTTCTCCTGTGACTTGCTTGTTCAGTTTGTAATGATGTCTTTTAAAGACCAGCTTTTAATTCTGATAAAATCTAATTTATCATTATTCTCTCTTATGGGTAAATGCTTTTTTGTGTCCTAAGAAAGCCCTGCTTACCTTAAAGTTGCAAAGATATATTCTTGTTTTCTTCTGGAAGTTTTGCTTTTACCTTTAGATCCACATTTTACTTCTAATTTATATTTATGAAAGGTATGAGAAGAAAGTTCAGGTTTATTTTCTTCCATATACCAAGTCAAAATCTCCTGTACTTAATTTTTTAAATTTAAAATTGGTCTAATTTTGTGAGTCAAAATTTAGGCTGTGTTTCAAAAATAATTTGCCCAATTTAATTCATTTTAAACTTCCACCATCCACTATGATTTATTCATTACCACCTATCTGCAAAGCAATCCACAAAAAAGAACATATCTCACATAGTAAAGGAAATCTGCCCTACAATAAAACTAAAAATACAATATCATTAGAAAAACCTTCATTAATCTTAACATTTATTTACATGTCTTCATATGGATGTCAAATAACCTAAATATCTGTGTTTAACTGTATTATAATTCTATAAAGCAAAAATATTCTCTCGAGGTTTTCACTGCGTTTTATAAAATTTTAACCTGAAATGCATGAAAAGAGTTCTGGAGCCATTAGTAACTGAAATACAAATGCAGCGCTTATCTTTAACCTGAAGACCCAGATCTCAGGTACCAATTATGAAGCTAGACAAGCTCACCTGAGTAGCTGCAGACTGACAGGAAGATGACGATGACGACGAGACAACAGGAATGTCAGACTGTACAGCAGCCACAGTGGTAGCGGGTGTGAAAATCAGCTGTACAGACAGAAAACCAAAAAAAAAAAAACAAAAATACCCTAAGACAAAAGAACATGTCCCACACACAATGTATATAGCAAGCAAGAGAGACTGAAATTTGTGACAGAAAGACAATGCAGTTTAGGACTGCATCCTAAGCAAAAAACATTTTACATGACAAAGAGAAGTTTCTGATAAAAACTCAAAAAATCATAAACAGTCTTGAAACATCTCATGATTCTAATAAGCAGAAAATAAATCACTCCTTAAGGAAGAAAATATACTTTGGTAATATGAAATCCTCAGGCCAAATTTTGTCCCAAATAAGCTATTCAAGTTTTCCTAGCTCAAAACTACTGTCTCAGTATTCCTAAAATAAAAACCTAAAAATAGAAAACTACAGTCTCTGTTTTAGGACACAAATTAAATTTCAGAGAAAAACATAGAAACCCCAAAACGTCTCTTCAGTGTCTTCAATGCAAGGGTAAATACACTGCATAATAAATTACAATGTTTCTCTCAGCTTCAAAGGTACTACAGGACAAACCTACTTAGGTTGCTCCTGATTTTAAAGGTATTTGAAAAGAAATACTCATTCTAGATGTAAATGCAAAAATATGCTAAAATAGGACAACAAAAGAGTGTTGCATTAAAAAAAAGGAAAAGACATTCTACTTACTCATCATCATATCTTTTCAATTTTTTTTTTTTTTTTTTTTTTTGGTACTGGGAACTGAACTCAGGACCTTGCACTTGCCAGGCAGGTGCTGTGCCACTAAGCTATAACCCCAGCCCTCAAATTTTTAATATTAAACATCATTAATTTCTAAAGCAGTAGAATCCAGAGATTATCCGATTCACTTAGTAAATTCTGACAGTAGTTTCAAGGGATATGTAAATACTCTAAAAATATTTCAAGAATTATTCTGTTCCTGTTGCCTCGCAAATTAAAATATTAAGGGAGCTTTTAAACTGTCGTTCAAGAGATCATTAAAACTAGTTCAGTATTTTACAGAATTCAACAACAAAGGCAAGTGTTCACAAAAAAGGTAAATCTCAGCACAAACAGCTTGAAAGCACTGAATCTAAAGAAAAGATATTTAGCTTGAACCATATAAATTACCAAAGTTAGAGATCAAAAATGGCAAACAGCATCCACTTCAAATGGTTAAATATTATTTTAAAGTGCATTTTTAGTAAAGAACATGTCATGAGGGGGAGAAAAACAGAAAGATGGCAATATTTACTGAATCATCTTTGAATAAGGGGTGAGTCTTATAATTATTCTTTCCTATTTGAAATATGACTAGAAACAGTCTTCCCAACTTTACATGAAGAACTAGAGATTCACATACATATTCAACACTGGACAAGAAAGAATGCATATTAGACTTTCCCAAAGTCTTTGTATATCTTCATGTAAAGACTACCAATAAAATAAAGGTCACCTAATTTCTACATTCCTTAAAATTAAATTGGGAAAATAGTAGATACTCAAATAAATAACCAAATCAACATTCATGTACTCAAAAAATCAAAATGTGCACAAAAACACAAGTAGAACGTGAGATGGGAATAACCAAACCTAAGAATTATGCATTAAATTACCAGGAACTCCAATCCAGATATGACATAGTCTTGGGATATAAATTCTAATAGCTAGTAACCAAGTTTTTAACATTTCTCACTATTTTGTCAAATTTAAGATGTCAGAAGTATATAATAATTTTATGTTCCACTATAACTGCTACTGTAACTATAACATAAATCAACTGTAAAATGCAACTTTAGAGATGTTGAAATTTGAAATTCAGGGGGGAAAGTTTGAGCCCTCAAATCTTTATTAGTTTCCAAAGGTTGATAATTACTATTTACCAAGAAGGGCTACTGATTCAAAGCAGAATTTTTCATGACATTGATAAATGTACAAGAGCTGAGTACACACACAAAAAAACTACTAAACATTTCTTAAGTATTAAAAATGTCTCACTGCACCAAACAAAAAAACATTTTGATCTCTTACATCCTTAGATACCAGAAATCCTTATAGCTCTTATCTTACCATTTGAGCTCGGAGATACATTTGAGCTTGGCTTGCTGTTAGAGTAGGGGAGGTACTCCCTAGTAACATAGTCTGTTGAGTAATACTGCCGCTGGTAGAACTGGAAGCCTGGGAACGGCTTATTAACTGTGCAGGTGTAGGAGAAGTGGAAAGGTTGATCTAAGAAAAAAAACATATCAGGTCATAGGCTTCCATTTCTTCCCTCCACATTACTGAACATCACAAGCTACAGCTAGGCAATCAACGAGACAAACTATGGGTAAGAACCCAAAAGGAAGGCTGTTACTTTTGACAGACCTCCTCACTTTGGGCAGTTTGCACATATGAAAATAACAGCATGCACTGGTTATTTTTAAATATATTCACAAATGTTTCAATTACATTTCTAATGTCTTAAAGCATCATTTCCAGTACATCCCAAAAACTAGAGCAAGACTTCCATTATTTTACTATTCCACATAACTTAAAACATTCTAATCAATAGGCTATATTGTTTTGTCAATAGTCTACACTATTTTGTCACACTTTCACATTTTGAGGGGTTTCTGAACCGAACAAAAATTAAAACATAATTAATTCACATATATAAAACATGTAAGTGGCATAATTAGTGTTAAGTTTTTCACAACAGCAAAAACGTAAAGCCAGAGATGTAAGCTCTGACATCAAGGCAGTCTACAGTTTTCTACAGACAGAATGCCCGTGAAAAAGCGAGAAGTGACATTCCTATTTTGAAATGAGTTCCTGAAAAGGACTGCTCAGTATATGAAAGGAAGGTGAAAAAGAGCTCTACCACACACTCATTGAGAAGCGGCAAGAAAATTTTCATCTGCCCCATTGACACTGTATGAGCAGAGTGAGGTACCTACGAAAATCAAACTCCAGAGATAGGCCATGTAGCAATTTACACAAAATCCAAATTTACACTCCCTGCATGTTCCATAATCCATCCCAATACATTAACATTTGAGGTCTAGTTCCCAGGAGGATGTGGAGTAAGACTCTCCAACAATCATCCCCCTGAAAAAACATCAATTTGAACAACTATCCATTACATTAAATTACCTTCACAAGAGCAAAGGAAACCAAATGAGAGATCACAGCACCTAGTTATAGCATAAAAGTAATAAAAGATGAACGGGAAGTGGTAGGAAGAACACTTTTACTTTATGTATGTCACTGTTCCTTCAATTCCAGCCATCATAGCACAGAAAGAGGCATCATTTGCTTGGGGGAAGAAAACAAAAGTAAGTTTAGGACTGTCTTGAACCCCAATATTGGGCCTGCCATATTAAAAATCTAGCACCAGACACTCACAGGCCTGATTCCACACTAGTATCCAGGGACGGGCCTCTTGACCCCATGGCGCCAGAGGAACACACAGTCCATAGGAAATGGATTTGCATTTAGCCCATTATCACTGCCAATTATTGCAAAGGGCTTAAGTTCCTTATAAACCTCAGCAGCAGGCATATTCAAGTAGCCATGGGCTTTACATTGCCCACCCAGCCCCACCTCTTCCTAATTCCCACACTGGATCAGCCTCAATGGCCACACAATTCCAGTCCAGGGATTATCATCCCTGTCTTCACTGGTTATGGCAATCTTGGGCTTAGGACACCCCCAAGACTACAGCAGAGTGGTCATGGACTTCAGACTGTTTGCTGTTGAAGGACATTCGCTAGGCTGCAAAGACTAGAATATGTACCTACTTCTTCAACATATAGGCATAAAGGAACAACCACAAAAATCAAGAATAATCAGAGAAACACCACATCACCAAATGGAGAAAAGGTTCCAGTGACTGGCCCCAATAAAATGGAGATGATTAAATGCCTAACAAGGTTTCAAAATAACAGTTTTAAGAAAGTTCTGCCAAGCTTCAAAAATTCAGAAATGTATCACAGAAATTTAATAGAGATTAATTTTTTTTTTAAAAATCAAACACAAATCTTCGAGCTGAAAAATACAAAAAATGAAATTTATATATATTTATATTTAAAAAAAGCAGGCCAGGCATGGTGGCACATGCCCCCTCCCAGCACTTTGGAAGTTGAGGCAAGAAGAACACTGCTAGTTCAAGATCAGCCTCAAGGCCAGGCATGGTGGCCCATGCCTGTAATCCCAGCACTCAGGAAGCTGAGGCAGGAGGATCGTTGTGAGTTCCAGACCAGCCTGGGCTACAAAGT